AACAACATGTGTACTACTGTTTCATGAGAAACTATTTGTTCTGTAAGCCTTCACCTGAAGTAAAATAAAATATAAAAAAAAAAAAGAAAGTGAGGACAATTTCCACTTCTCATCTTTGAGAAGATGCCCTAGGAGCAGACGGATGACGGGGCAGGGGGCTTCAAAACCCAAAGCCTCCAGTTCCAAACTGCCTGTGATGAGGAAATAAGCAATAGGACATCTGGGAAATGGGGCAGTGACAAACCTACATAGTGTATGGTGAAAAAATGACCTACAAAATCACCAACACATTCTTCTGTTCTACCGCCAATACAGGAACTTTATACACAGCTACATCCACCTCTAATGCATTTTTGCTGAGTGCAGAAGCAGCACCCACTGATCTCAGCAATTCCTCACAGACTAAAGGCACAAAAAGGTGGCCAGTCAGTACCCCACAAACTGTTTCTCCCATTCCTGGCAGAAGAAAAATCACACATACGACTATCAAAACATCCCCCAACTTTAAGCCCACTCTTGAACCTTTGCTCAAGTCTCCAACCAATTCCAGCATATCAACGCCATTATCAAACTTTGTCATCAAGGTAGATACCAGTCCACCTACCATCATTGTCTATATGCCCACTACTGAGTGCATAATTCCAACAAAACTCATGATCACCACAACTTACCCCACAACCACGTGCATAACAGTGACCCAAGTGTCCTTCACTACCTCTTACACCACCACTGCTGGGACAGAGAACACAGAGACATCTGTAATCAGTACTAATCCCGCTACAGAGGAAGAACCATCAGCCACGACCTCTTCTACTACTACAGAGAGTGTCTACACATCCACAACCATAACAAACGCACTGCCCACAACGGCTGAAACCACCGTTTCACCAAGTTTCACCAATACATTCACAACATCCACAACACCTCTACCACCTACATCCACTGCTCCCACAACAGAAACAAGCAAGACGGTTGTTGCAACATCTAATGCAACATCTATGAAGACATCAATACTTATTCCTACCACAGACACCTCTACAGACACTGTCACTTCAGAATCTACCTCTACTTCCCTGGCCACTTCATCAATCACTCCCACGATTACAGTTGATTCTTCCACGACCATCACCCCGGCTACCGTGACCACCGATACGGTAACATCACCCACACACATGCTTTCGTCTTCTTCACCCGTCCCAAGTACAGAAACAGTCAGCAGTGAAACTACAAACACTACCCCGATGCCTTCCATGAGTACCACAGTCCTTACCACTGATGCCACATCTACACCTACACCTGCAACCACGGGCTCTAATTCTCCAAGTAGTACTCTCACCAATCCCACAACTGAAATCACATCTGCGATCACTACCACTGACGTATCAACTACCTTTATCACACCCACTTCTACAACTTCCCCACCTACAGAAACAACCAGGTCTGCCACCACAGACTCTGTAACAACACCTGCTCTGACAACCACACACAGGACATCAGGTGTCACTTCCACACACACACTCTCCACAGACAGTACCTCCACATCGGCAATCATCTCATCTCCAACTACCTCTGGTACCAAGGTGACATCAACTAATATATCTCCATCATCTCTTAGTACCGACAGGACTACACCAACACCTACTACAGTCACCCTCTCACCGA